GTGGGTACATAGTTGGTATATATATTTATGGGGTACATGAGATGTTTTGTTACACGCATGCAATGTGAAGTAAGCACATCATGGAGAATGGGATATCCATCCCCTCAGGCATTTACCCCATAAATTACAATCCAATTAATCCCAGCACTTTGGTAGGCTGAGGTGGGCAGATCACTTAAGGCCAGCATTCAAGACAAGCCTGGCCAACATGGGAAGATACCATCTCTACTAAAAATACAAAAGTCAGCTGGGTGTGGTGGCGGGCACCTGTAATTCCAGCTACTCGGGAGACTGAGGCATAAGAATAGCTTGAACCCTGGCGAGTTGCAGTGACTCACACCTGTAATTCCAGCACTTTGGGAGGCCAAGGTGGGTGGATCACCTGAGGTCAGGAGTTTGGACCAGCCTGGCTAACATGGTGAAACCTCGTCTCTACTAAAAAATAAAAAGTAAATAAATAAAAGATTAGCTGGGCGTGGTGGCGGGTACCTATAATCCCAGCAACTCTGGAGGCTGAGGCAGGAGAATCGCTTGAACAGGGGGAGGTGAAGGTTGCAGTGAGCTGAGAGGGCACAGATGCACTCACTTCAGCCTGGGTGACAGGGTAAGATTTCATCTCAAAAAAATAAAATACACAGGCCGGGCGTGGTGGCTCACGCCTGTAATCCAAGCACTTTGGAGGCCAAGGTGGGCGGATCACCCGAGGTCGGGAGTTCAAGACCAGCCTGACCTACATGATGAAACCCCGTCTTTTAAAAAAATAAAAATGGCCGGGCGCGGTGGCTCACGCCTGTAATCCCAGCACTTTGGGAGGCCGAGGCGGGTGGATCACGAGGTCAGGAGATCGAGACCATCCTGGTCAACATTGGGAAACCCCGTCTCTACTAAAAATACAAAAAATTAGCTGGGCATGGTGGTGCACGCCTGTAGTCCCAGCTACTCGGGAGGCTGAGGCAGGAGAATTGCCTGAACCCAGGAGGCGGAGATTGCGGTGAGCCGAGATCACGCCATTGCACTCCAGCCTGGGTAACAAGAGCGAAACTCCATCTCAAAAAAAATAAAAATAAAAAAATAAAAATAATAAAATATACAATTAAGTTACTATTGATTATAGTCACCGTGTTTTGCTATCAAATAGGTTTTATTTATTCTGACAATTTTTTTTTTTTTTTTTGAGACGGAGTTTCGCTCTTGTTACCCAGGCTGGAGTGCAATGGCGTGATCTCGGCTCACCGCAACCTCTGCCTCCTGGGTTCAGGCAATTCTCCTGCCTCAGCCTCCCGAGTAGCTGGGACTACAGGCGTGCACCACCATGCCCAGCTAATTTTTGTATTTTTAGTAGAGACGGGGTTTCACCATGTTGACCAGGATGGTCTTGATCTCTTGACCTCGTGATCCACCCGCCTCGGCCTCCCAAAATGCTGGGATTACAGATGTGAGCCACCGCGCCCGGCCTTGACATTTAATTTTTGTACGCATTAGTAATCCCCGCTGCCTTGCTACCCTCCCACTACCTTTCCTAGCCTCTGGTAACTATCCTTCTGCTCTCTAGGTTTATGTGTTCGGTTGTTTTTTTAGATCCTACAAATACGTGAGAACATGCGATTCTCTGCATACATTTGTCTTTCTGTACCCAGCTTATTTCACTTAACATAATGACCTCCAGTTCCACCCATGTTGTTGCAAATGACAGGATCTCATTCTTTTTATCACTGAATAGTAATCCATTGTGTATATGTACCATGTTTTTTTTCTTTTTCTTTATTCTCTGTTTTTATTATTCATATGTACCACATTTTATCCATTCTTCTTCTTTTTTTTTTTTAGATGGAGTCTTACTCTGTCATTTAGGCTGGAGTGCAGGGGTGTGATCTCAACTCACTGCAAACTCTGCCTCCCAGGTTCAGTTAGTTCTCCTGCCTCAGCCTCCCAAGTAGCTGGGATTACAGGCATGTGCCACCATGCCCAGCTGATTCTGTATTTTTAATAGAGATGGGGTTTCTCCATGTTGGTCAGGCTGGTCTTGAACTCCCAACCTCAGGTGATCCGCTCACCTTGGCCTACTAAAGTGTTGGGATTACAGGCATGAGCCACTGCACCCAGCCCATCTTTTTTAACTTCATTTATTTTATTTTTTTTTTCTGAGACAGTCTTGCTCTGTTGCCCAGGCTGGAGTACAGTGGCGTAATCTCAGCTTACTACAACCTTCATCTCCCCGGTTCAAGCGATTCTCCTGCCTCAGCTTGCCAAGTAGGCATGGGCCACCATACCCAGCAAATTTTTGAATTTGTAATAGAGACGGGGTTTTAACATGTTGGACAGGCTGGTCTTGAACTCCTGACTTTAAGTGATCCACCCGTTTCGGCCTCCCAAAGTGTTGGGATTACAGGCATGAGCCATCACTCCCAGCCTGATTTCCTTTAGAGTATATACCTCATGGAGGAATCTCCAAACTATTCTCCATAATGGTTGTACTAATTTACATTCCCAACAACAGTGTACGAGGGTTCCCTTTTCTCCAAATCCTCTCCAGCATTTGTGATTGCCTGTCTTTTGAATATAAGCCATTTGAACTGGGGTGAGATGATATCTCATGGTAGTTTTGATTTTCATTTCTGATGATCCATGATGTTGAGCACCTTTTCATATGCCCGTTTGCCATTTGTATGTCTTCTTTGAGAAATGTCTGTTCAAATCTTTAGCCCATTTTTTGATCAGATTATTAGTTTTTTTTTCTGTAGAGCTCAGCTCCTTAAATATTCTGGTTATGAATCCCTTGCCAGATGGGTAGTTTGCAAATACGTGTGGGTTGTCTCTTTATTGTTTCCTTTGCTGTGCAGAAGCTTTTTAACTTGATATGATCCCATTTGTCCATTTTTGCTTTAGTTGCCTGTGCTTATGGGGTATTGCTCAAAGAATTTTTGCCCAAACCAACATCCTGGAGATTTCCCCCAATGCTTTCTTATAGTAGTTTCATAGTTTGAGGTCTTAGATTTAAGCCTTTTTTTTTTTTTTTTTTTTTTTTGAGATGGAGTCTCGCTTTTGTCACTCAGTCTAGAGTGAAATGAGGGATCCTGGCTCACTGCGGTCTTCACCTCCTGGCTTCAAGCAATTCTTCTGCCTCAGCCCCCTGAGTAGCTGGGATTATAGACGCGTGCCACCGTGCCTGGCTAATTTTTGTATTTTTAGTAGAGATGGGGTTTTGCCATGTTGGCTAGGCTGGTCTCAAACTCCTAAACTCAGGAGATCTGGCCACCTCAGCCTCCCAAAGTGCTGGAATTACAAGTGTGAGCCACTGTGCCTGGCCTAGATTTTAGTCTTTAATCCATTTTGATTTGGTTTTTGTACGGTGCTCTACATGTTCAGAGAATCTTCTCTAGCAATAAACTGATCCCTAAAGTATAGTCTTTAACATTTTAACATTTTTTGGGGGGATGGAGTCTTGCTCTGTTGTCCATGCTGAAGTGCAGTGGTGCAATCTTGGCTCGCTGCTACCTCTGCCTCCCAGGTCAAGCGATTCTCCTGCCTCAGCTTCTTGAGTAGCTGGGATTACAGGTGCCTGCCACCACACCCGGCTAATTTTTTTATTTTTAGTAAAGACAAGGTTTCACCATCTTGGCCAGGCTGGTTTTGAACTCCTGACCTGGTGATCCGCCTGCCTCAGCCTTTCAAAGTGCTGGGATTATAGGCGTGAGCCACCATGCCCAGACATTTCTTTTCTTTTCTTTTTTTTTTTTTTTTGAGATGGAGTTTTGCTCTTGTTACCCAGGCTGGAGTGCAATGGCGCGATCTCGGCTCACCGCAACCTCCGCCTCCTGGGTTCAGGCAATTATCCTGCCTCAGCCTCCTGAGTAGCTGGGCTTACAGGCACACGCCACCATGCCCAGCTGATTTTTTGTATTTTTAGTAGAGACGGGGTTTCACCATGTCGACCAGGATGGTCTCGAACTCTCGACCTCATGATCCACCCGCCTCAGCCTCCCAAAGTGCTGGGATTACAGGCTTGAGCCACCGCGCCCGGCGACAATATTTCTTATAATGAATATGTAGGGAACAAAACAAACAAACAAAAATAAAGAAAAGAAAAACAATAACAACAAAGAATGTGTAGGAGGCCGAGTGCTGTAGCTCACACCTGTAATCCCAGCGCTTTGGGAGGCCGAGGCAGGTGGATCATGAGGTCAAGAGATCAAAACAATCCCGGCCAACATGGTGAATCCCTGTCTGCACTAAAATATAAAAATTAGCTGGGGATGATGGCATGCGCCTGTAGTCCCAGCTACTCAGGAGGCAGAGGCAGGAGAGTTGCTTGAATCTGGAAGGCAGAGGTTGCAGTGAGCTGAGATTGCATCATTGGGCTCCAGCCTGACAACAAAGCAAGACTCTGTATCAAAAAATAATAATAATAATGTAGGAGCCAGGGATGGTAGTGTGTGCTGGTAGTCCTGGCTACTAGGGAGGTTGAGGCTATAGGATGGCTTGAGCCTGCAATTCAAGGTTACAGTGAGCTATGATCGTGCCACTCCAGCCTGGTCAACAGAGCAAGATCTTGTGTCAAAAAAAAAAAAAAAAAAAAAAAAAAAAAAAAAAAAAATTGACCTAAGCAGCCTCTCCAGTTGTCTTTTTTTTTTTTTTTTCCCAAAGAAATATAAGAAAGAGCCACAGGTCTAAGGCTTTAGGAATGTCAACATTGCAGCTGGGTTTGGGCTCATGACTGTAATTTCCATCATACTGTGAGGCCAAGATAGGTGGATCACTTGAGGTCAGGAGTTTGAGACCAGCCTGGCCAACATGGTGAAACCCCATCTCTACTAAAAATACAAAATTAGTTGGGCGTGGTGGCACATGCCAGTAATCTCAACAACTCAGGGGGCTGAGGCAGGAGAATCACTTGAATCCAGGAGGTGGAGGTTGCAGTGAGCTGAGATTGTACCATTGCACTCTAGCCTGGGCGACAAGAGTGAAACTCCATCTCAAAAAAAAAAAAAAAAAAAGAAGGAATGTCAACATTTCGAGGCCAGGTAGAGAAAAACAGCTGGCAAAGGAAACAGAGCAATTTGAGTGGTAAGAGGAAAGCCACCTCAGGGTGCTGCTATAGTTTAATGTGCTGCTGTGAATGCTAGTTAAAATGAGGACCAAAAATTGATTATTAGGCGTGTGGTGGCTCTGGTGGCTCATGCCTATAATCCAGCACTTCGGTAGGCTGAGGGAATGTATCACCTGAGGTTAAGAGTTCAAGACCAGCCTGGCCAACGTGGCAAAACCCCATCTCTACTAAAAATACAAAAAATTAGCTGGGCATGGTGGCGCGTGCCTGTAATCCCAGCTACTCAGGAGGCTGAGGCAGAATTGCCTGAACCCAGGAGGCGGAGGTTGCGGTGAGCTAAGATGGCGCCATTGCACTCCAGCCTGGGTAACAAGAGCAAAACTGTGTCTCCAAAAAATAAAAATAAAAAAAAAAGAAAAAGTATTTGACAAAATCCAGTACCTTTTGGTAATAAAAACATTCAACAGGCCAGGCACAGTGGCTCACTCCTGTAATCCCAGCACTTTGGGAGGATCATGAGGTCAGGAGATCAAGACCATTCTGGCCAACATGGTAAAACTCTGTTGCTACTGAAAATACAAAAATGAGCCAGGTGTGGTGGTGTGTGCCCATAGTCCCAGCTACTCAGGAGGCTGAGGTAGGAGAAATCACTTGAACCCAGGAGGCAGAGGGTGCAGTGAGCCAAGGTCATGCTACTGCACTCTAGGCTGGTGAGACTCCATCTCAAAAAAAAAAACACCAAAAAACAAAAAACACTCAACAGCTTTCCTCAGCTGCCGCCAAGGTGCTCGGTCCTTCCGAGGAAGTTAAGGCTGCGTTGGGGTGAGGCCCTCACTTCATCCAGCGACTAGCACCGCGTCCGGCAGCGCTAGCCCCACACTCACCCGCACCGTGGCCTCCGTCTCCGAGCTCGCCTGCATCTACTCGGCCCTCATTCTGCACGACGATGAGGTGACCGTCAGGGAGGATAAGAACAATGCCCTCATTAAAGCAGCCGGTGTAAATGTTGAACCTTTTTGGCCTGGCTTGTTTGCAAAGGCCCTGGCCAACGTCAACATTGGGAGCCTCATCTGCAGTGTAGGGGCTGGTGGACCTGCTCCAGCAGGAGGTGCTGCACCAGCAGGAGGTCCTGCCCCTCCACTGCTGCTGCTCCAGCTGAGAAGAAAGTGGAAGCAAAGAAAGAAGAATCCGAGGAGTCTGATGATGATATGGGCTTTGGTCTTTTTGACTAAACCTCTTTTATAATGTGTTCAATAAAAAGCTGAACTTTAGGCCGGGCGCGGTGGCTCAAGCCTGTAATCCCAGCACTTTGGGAGGCCGAGGTGGGTGGATCACAAGGTCAAGAGATCGAGACCATCCTGGTCAACATGGTGAAACCCCGACTCTACTAAAAATACACAAAATTTAGCTGGGCATGGTGGCACGTGCCTGTAATCCCAGCTACTCAGGAGGCTGAGGCAGGAGAATTGCCTGAACCCAGGAGGCGGAGGTTGCGGTGAGCCGAGATCGTGCCATTGCACTCCAGCCTGGGTAACGAGCGAAACTCCGTCTCAAAAAAAAAAAAAAAAAAAGCTGAACTTTAAAATAAAATAAATACATAAATAAAAAACACTCAACAAACTAGAAATAAAAGTGAACATCTGACATAGTACAGTGGCTCATGCCTGTAATCTAAGCACTTTGGGAGGCCAAGGTAGGAGGATCGCTTGAGGACAGAAGTCTCTAATGGCTTCCCACACACACATTTGGGTGTATGGCTCCCAGGTTAAACCTTTTAGTGGTACCTCATTACCATTCAGATATGCTCCCTGACATGGACTCTAGAATCCTCCAGTTCCTAAACACTTCATGCCCTATGACTGGGCCCTCAGGTCACTGGGCAGACTATTGTGTCAAGACCAAATTGGTATTTCCCTTCAGATCCTTCCCTGTCCAGTGTCAAGTGCTTTCTTCGGCCTTTGTGTGAATGGTAATAAGGTGCCACTAAAAGGTTTAAGCCTGGGAACCACACAATCAAGTGTGTCTTTAGGGAGCCCTCAGTCAGGGAGGTTACTGGCCTCAACCCCACAGGATCTTTCAATAGGCCCTGGGCTGACTATAATAGGGTGGCATCTTTCTTTTGTTTTTGAGACAGTTTCATTCTTTTGCCCGGGCTGAAGTGCCATGGTGTGATCTCGGCTTACTGCAACCTCCGCCTCCTGGATTCAAGCGATTCTCTTGCCTCAGCCTCCTGAGTAGCTGGGATTACAGGCACCAGCCACCACACCCGGCTAATTTTGTATTTTTAGTGGAGATGGGGTTTCCCCATGTTGGCCAGGCTGGTTTTGAACTCCTGACCACGTGATCCACCCGCCTCGGCTGCCCAAAGTGCTGGGATTATAGGCGTGAGCCATTGCACCTGGTTGCCATCTTAATAAGCATCTCATAGACATCAAGTAAGTCATAGGAGTCTTCAGCTTGTCACTGGAACTAGAGGCATGGATATGGCCTCCTAGAAAGAGTACAGAATTGGTACTACCCAGAGGTCAAAGGTGAGTCATTCCTTAGTCCCAGAAGGCTTAGACACATCCTGGGCCCTTTCCACACACTTAAACAGCTGATTCATTTTTTTCTCTTTATTGTTACATACAGTGTATAAACACATAAAACAAAACAATAGGGATCCTTTTGGATCTCTAGGAAGACAGTAAGGTAGAAAGAGGTCTCAGAAAAATATTTTTAAAGTACAAGACATTCAGTGCCAAAGGTGTAGACCAAAGGTGTAGAAGGTTTAGAGCCAGCAGAGTGCTGGACTAAAGGCTCCGTAACTCCCCAGAGCCAGGACAACCCCAGGAAACCCTCCACCAGCAGCCAGTCCACTGCTGAGAAAGCTCTATGCTGAGAGCATTCCCCACGATGGAAAGAAGGGCAACACAAAAAGGTGACTAAGAGCTCCTTCCTCCCTCAAGGGTGACAACTGTGGAAAAGGAAAGGAGTGTCCCATGTCACTCTGACCCTCTCCCCATCTGCCCTGGGCCCAGATGCCCCCATACTTAGCATTTGCCAGAAGCTGTCCCAGGTAAGACCCTGCTTAGACCCACGAGGTACCCAGAGTTCTCTGGGGAGGGTTGGGGAAGAGGCTGTGTGTCAAACCAAACAGTTCTTTATTTGCAGTCATCACTGGGGCCGTTTCTTACGGCTTATTTGTCTGCTAGCCTGCTCTTCCAGCTGCATGGCCAGGCGCAAGGCCTTGATGACATCTGGAAGAAAGAGGTAGTGGTAGATATGGGGTTAGTGAGAGTCTGAGGAGCCCCCATTTACTCAGGGCAGAGCTGCCGTCATCTGCAGCTGCTCAAGAGCCAGCAGAGGCCACTATCGTCCACCTGCACCCCATCCAGCCACACCTACCTTGCAGGGCTGAGAAGTGTTTGGCTTGCTCGGCCAGAGCAGATTCTGCTTTGTTCACAAAGGTCTCCAGGTCATAGTCCGGCTGCTCAGTCATCTCAGAGAGCTCAAGCCAGCCTGGTCCTTGCTACAACATAGGGAGGACATTGTCAGTTCAATAACCATCTAGTAAATCATTCCTGGGGTCCTACCAACTGCAATGCAGACACCTGTGTAAGATGCCTTACCTCTGGTCCATGGCCCAAACCCTGCCTGCTGACCCTCTCCCCAAGGAAATCCCTAGCCTGAATTCATCCTCTTTCTACCCTGAACTTATCACCCATCTCCTGTGTCAAATACATGACATCATCAGTCCTGATGCCTAAGCCAGAAACTTCAGTGACTTTATTCCTTTTCTTTTTTTTTTTTTTTTTTTTTTTTTGTGATGGAGTCTCACTCTGTCACCCAGGCTGGAGTGCAGTAGCATGATCTCGGCTCACTGCAACCTTCACCTCCCAGGTTCAAGCGATTCTCCTGTCTCAGCCTCCAGAGTAGCTAGAATTACAGGCACGCCCCACCACACCCAGCTAACTTTATTTTTAGGAGAGATGGGGTTTCACCATATTGGCCAAGCTGGTCTTGAACTACTAATCTAGTAATCTGCCCATCTTGGCCTCCCAAAGTCCTGGGATTACAGGCGTGAACCACCATGCCCAGCCCAAGTGACTTTATTCTTTCACCCTATTTGTCAACAAATCCTCTTAATTCTGTTCCCTAAGTAGTTCTTTTTATTTATTATTTTTGCTGCACACATCACTTTGGGATATTTATTTTGTGTGGAGATGGGGCCTCACCATGTTGCCCAGGCTGGTTGTGTGGGCTCAAGTGATCCTCCTGCCTTAACCTACCAAAGTGTTGGGATTACGGGGATGACCCACTGCACCTGGCCAAATGATTCTTTTTAAATAACAGATATATGGCTGGGTGCAATGACTCATGCCTGTAATACCGACACTTTGGCAAGCTGAGATGGGTGGATCTCCTGAGGTCAGGAGTTTGAGACCAGCCTGACCAACATGGAGAGACTCCGTCTCTACTAAAAATACAAAATTACCTGGGCGTGGTGGCGCATGCCCGTAATCCCAGCTACTTGGGAGACTGAGACAGAATCATTTGAACCTGGGAGGCGGAGGTTGCAGTGAACCAAGATCGCACCATTGCACTCCAGTCTGGGCAACAAAAGCAAAACTCTGTCTCAAAAAACAAACAAACAAAAATAACAGACATAGGCCGGGCATGGAAGCTGACACCTGTAATCCCCCAGCACTTTGGGAAGCTGAGGCAGGCCTTGAGGTCAGCAGTTCAAGACCAACCTGGTCAACATGATGAAATCCTGTCTCTATTGAAAACACAAAAATCAGCTGGGGCTGGGTGGTGAGGCTCACACCTGTAATTCCAGCACTTTGGGAGGCTGAGGCACGTGGATCAGTTGAAGTCAGGAGTTCAAGACCAGCCTGGCTAACATGGTGAAACCCCATCTGTACTAAAAATATGAAAAATTAACCAGGCACAGTGGCATGTGCCTGTAATCCCAGGTACTCAGGAGGCTGAGGCAGGAGAATTGCTTGAACCCAGGAGGCGGAGGTTGCGGTGAGCCGAGATCACGCCATTGCACTCCAGCCTGGGTAACAAGAGCAAAACTCTATCTCAAAAAAAAAAAAACAAAAACCAAGCATATTACTGAATCCTCGAATACAGCCATCCTACCTTGACTATTTTAGAGATGCAAAAACTGAGGCCCAGTGAGGCTAAATGACCTTCATTAAGGAAATCAGCTTGTTAATGGAAGAGTCAGGATTGATCTCAAGTCTTACCTTAGGGCCTATTAGCTATACTTCATGTTTTTGGCCCTTGGTTTCAGCACAAAAGCTGCAACATTCACCAAAAAACAAAACAAAACAAAAAAAAAAAGACAAGATCTGTGCATATGGATCACCCTCCAAACCCTCAATCAGGAGCACGGAAGAGAGACTAGCTCTGGTTAGGGTGATGTCAGAAAACTTATGTGTGCCAGCCTGCAGAAGGGGATGTGATCATTAGAAGAACAGCCAAGTTAATAGGCAAAGAATTAAGGAGTGCTGGTGTAGAAGGCTGCTTCTTGTCACCTCAACCTGAACACCTGTAATAAGGCCCAGGTCATGTTCTAGGAATGGTGTGGAGCATTCTGAGGGCCGTGCTGGGGTGGCCATCCAGCTCCCTGGCCAGGGCCAGTTGCCTACCTGTATGATCTCCTTGAGCTCTTCCACCGCCCTCTCCTCCAACTCCCTGATCTGAGTCATGGCTTCATTAAAGCTGGACAACTGGGAAGACAGTTCCTCCTCTTCCTTGGATAACTGAGGGGGCCAAAAAGAGAGACAATTGTATGACCCAGTTGCCACCTCAGCAGGCCACACTTCTGTCTTGCTCGGCCCCATCCTGCCCCTTACGTTGCCTGGAATCAGTGCCCCATTAGAGCAGGCTTCCATCTCTTCTGTTTCCATTTGAATCGACTGTTCTCCACTGGGCCCACTGTGGGGGCTCAGCTCCTTGACCCTGAGGAAACAAGGAGGTCTCAGATCCCACAGCAGGCCCCTTGGTACTCACCACAGGAGTGCAGCGCCACCCAGACTTTGAAGCTTGAGGCTTGAAGAGGATGGAAGCAGCCTTTCCTTCAGCCAAGGAAATATGGCATAGACTAAAGCTGAACTGGAAAAGACCCTCACCCTGTTAACTCCCCAGCAGGGCTCAGAAAGGACTGGGACAGACCTAGTAGCATTATGACTGAACTCTCAAGCCTCAGGTTCAGAGTCACACAGGAGTATACAGTAGGCCCTGAGGCCCCAGAGCCTCCTTCCCTCTCATCACTGTC